TAAACGAGCTGTTTGGATTGTAGTTATTTTTCTCCAAAGCCAAACATAATAGTACTACGTAACTGAGAACTTAAACCCAAAATGCCTGGTCCTACCCAAATTAGACAGTGAAATGAAGTGCAGCAATTCGCGGATCTGTCCGCCCTTCCCTCCGTTAGCACATGTTCTCGTTTGCACAGTAGTGCTGCCGCCTCGTTGGCCTCAGTTCAGTGGTAGCAGCAAATGCGCGTCCTCTAGTGCAGAACTCTGTTTCTTGTCAGGGAGCTTAATGATTGGTAATGGAGATGCTCAGATGCAATTTTTCGTCTTCAGGCTTGATAAACAGGGACTTGCATTTTGCTTTAAGAAGTCATTTCCCTGAGCAATATGTGAATTCATGTATTTTTTTACTATTGACTTTAGAAACTTGAAAAAAAAAGTTACTTCTATGTGCAACTTTTTAAATGGAAAAATTAGCAGAAGTTGATCTATAAAATAGTCTACTAACATGTTTTAATGAAATATGGGAAAAGCATTTTAGGAAAACAGTTATCTAGATTAAAACCTTTCGTTCGTTTTCCCTCAGTCATGGACATATTAAGCATTAAGCTAATCACCAAGACTAAAGCAACCTAATTTCGTTTTCCTTCTGCATCAGGAAACTTGTTAGTTTATGGGAGATTGTGGGGAAAGAAAATGAATTTCCTGGACTCCAGACATGCTGATCTTGTGCTTCATTTGGGAAAGAAGTGGGAATGTACCAAACCTCTTCTTTTCCCACATGGCTAGGTCCTTTTGCTACTATTTCCCATAAGGAGGTTTGGAGGAGACATTCAAACTAGTGTGTGGAAAAAAGCACTTCACCTTGGATTTTGGTGTCTAACAGGAGTGTGAATGGAATGCATACAGAGTACTTGTCTGCTCTTTTGGGACAGCCTTTTGGTTTCTGCCTACTTGCTAGGTATCTGCAGTTTTACTGTGAATTCCACAATACGTGTTGGTTCCTTTTGCACATTAATAGTAAATATTGGATGTATTGAACATGTGTATAGATAGGGTTTTACATTAACGTTGTGTCACTTCTCGATAACTTACATGTTGATTCCTATTGGGAAATGTTTAGCAATTTGGTATACTTAGGGTTCAGAATTGCTTATGCAAGGGATTAGCTTCTAAATATTATTTTTCTAAACAAAAATATTAGCATTGGAAATTCAGTATCGTTGTCAGAGAAGTTCTAGTTTTAGGCTTTTGATTAAAATAAAAAAAAAAGGTGTTTGAAATCCTAAAGCTATTTATGTTTTCCTCACTTTAAGATAAGCTACACAGAACAATATACTGAAACCCCACAATTTCTTAATACTTTTTTTTTTTTTTCCCCTGGAGGATAGTGTAGATTTAGAAACTGGTTAAGGAAGTTGAGAGATCAATCATCTTTATCCATGTCTTCTACCTTCAGAGATTAATAGGTCACTGAAATTTACAGACAGTTCTTAAGGCATTACAACCAAACCACTTAGGCAACATATGCAGTGTAATTTTTAACAAGGAAGGAAAACCTGTGCAGAATTCAAAATCTCATGTAAGACACATTAGAGGGCAGACCATTTTGGGGCAACTCAGTGAAATATGTCAGTGCCTTTATGTAAAGAGTATGTCTAGATATCAGGAAGAAATTCTTCACAGAGAGGGTGGTGAGGCACTGGAACAGGTTGCCCAGAGAAGCTGTGGATGCCCCATCCCTGGAACTGTTCAAGACCAGGCTGGATGAGGCTTGGAGCAACCTGGTCTAGTGGAAGGTGTCCCTGCCCATGGCAGGGGGGTTGGAACTAGATGATCTTTAAGGTCCCTTCCAACCCAAACCAGTCTGGGATTCTAAATACTTCTCTCCAAATAGTTCCTTTGGATATTAATGTTTTCTTAGCATTCTGCAGTCCATTTTCCTCCTAAAGCAATTCCTGTATTTTCATAATACTGTTCTTCTACTTTACTGCTAATATTTCTACAGTAGTTGCATGTTTACCTTGACATTCTTTATCCTGCATTTCTCTTAGTAGTCTTCTCAAAGTATATTGGTTATTCTCAATCTTTTTCTGTGATTTCCCCTCCCCCTGGTTATTTTTTTCATAGATTCCTTATGAGATAACATCTATATGAAATTCTGTCTATGTGGAGTTAAATTTTGGTAGGATGGAAACTTGTTATCTTTATTTTGGATTAGAACATTATTAAAAAGAAACTGAGGAAACCAATAGCTCATCCTGTCTTTTTTTCATACCTGTTTTTGCTACAATTGAAACTCTTCTGTCTGTGAGTCATTCCCCTCCAGCAAAAATATTTTAGCCTTTTCTGATCATTTATAGATCACTGTCTAGTCTGGCACTCCTAAACATAAATACAATAATGAGCACTGATGACACTGTTCAGTTATGAACTTCAGAAGTATTTAAAGGCTTCAGTTAAGATTTCCATGACCACAGTAAGATGTTTTGTTACTTTAATTCCTCAAAGCCTACATGAACCTTTTCTGGTAATTAAACTTGAAAGACTTTAATATTGCACATGATTTGAAAATTAATTTCAGGAGTACCGATCTCTGAACTGGTGTGACAGTTAGGACCTCTGATTTGTAGCATCTGTCCTGCAAGAGGTGCCATTGGAAAATTCATTTGAGTCATTAGAAGGCTTTTAATTAATGAAATACACTGTCACCTATCTATTTGTGGGATTGATAGCTTCTATCCACTTTATCTGAGAATCATGTTGTAAACAATGGCAGTGATTACTAATCTGGGTTTAGAAAGAATGAGTCTTTCCTTGAAATGCTCCCTTTGCCTTCTGGTCTGTGCTGCTGGGCACGCTGCCTGTTTCACTAAGGCATTAGTCTTGCTTTCCTCTTCTGAGTCAGCCA